CGAACGAATCACGCACTGGTTGACACCTCGTTTTGCAAATCTATGCGTCTGCAGTCTGGCCCGACGCAGGCACACCCGAGGGCCCAAGGCCGTGGAAGCCGGGCCGAGCGCCCCGGACGACCCCGGGCGCGCGGTGCGGCGGGCGCGGGCCGAGAACAAGAGAAGAGGCGCGCTGCGGTGAGCGGGGGCGGGGGCGGGGCCGTCGGCCCGGGCCTCCGCCGCCGTCCCCACCCTGCCCCTTCCCCGCCTCGATGGTCGCCTGTGGCCCGTCGAGAAATTTGTTCATATTCTTTCAATCCAAACACTTGTTTGCAGACACAACTTATACAGCACGGCAGCAGCAAGAAATGTCTTGCCATTTCTGAAAATAAGCAGAAGCTGTTGATGACTGAATGTGACAGAAGAAAAGAAAATCAGCAGTGGAAGTTCGCAAATTATGATCCGTCCAAGCTCTAAAGGTAAAATCTCTCTCTAGAGACCGTATTCTTCATCACAAGAATGTGCCTTATTATTTATCAACAGTAGTTAGTAAAGAAAATCAAATTTTATTTTGTTTGCCTTTTTAGAGAATCAAAAAGATCTTGTGAAACAAAGCTTGTTTAAAGTTAAAAATGTTCTTTGGATTCAGAGACAGCAACCCTTGAAGATGGTCGTTCCGGATGGCCGAGATCGTTGAGGCAGTAGTGTCGTAGCGATCTCGGGCCGACGGATCGAGGGTTCGACTCACACATCGGGCATGGTTGTATTTCTGTTCGTCCTTTCACCCCCTATTATCACCATATCATATCATGTCATGCCATCTTCCCAGTTACCATACCGATAAATGCAATGGTGATCACTAATGACCTACATGTTGATATTCCCCACCAATAACCTTAAATAACAAAAAAAACATCCTTAAAGTAGTGAAAGAAGCAATCTTTTTATGGAACAAATTTTTATTAAAGTTTTTTTAGTGTAAATGCCTTGAGATAAAATTTGTCTTAACATAGTGAATAATAAGTTAAGAAATATTCACTGACAAATAGTTGTCACTAAAATGCCTTAAAAATGAAAATATGTACAATGTGTATATTCTAATTAGAATGTAGTTAAAATTTAACAAACAAAAATTTTATGTAATGTTTTACAGTTACAGATTTTTGTGAGCTGTGGAAATATGGTAGGAATATTCCTAGAAAATTCAGTGAAGTGTTTCTTCACTCCTACTTGCCTCAACTTCGATATCATGAGAGCACCTCTGAATTTGTTTCGCCAATGGACTGTTTTGGGGACTTTATAGTGTTCATACTCTTCAAGCCCACTGACAGCCATAGGACCAATGAAGATGCATGCAGATATCGTGACAAATTCTTGTCAACAAGACTGCTAGGCAGATGTTGTGTAAGAAGTTTGTCAATTCCTACAGATTGTGCTTGCTGCCAGTGCTGTGTTGTTCCTGATTCCACAATCCCATGTGGGAAATGCAGTTGAAGCCTAGGCATGCTAGCCACACAATATCAGCGACATACACATTTTCATAGTTATAGAGATTTGTAAACTTCTTTTTAAAGGAGTTCTTTGCTCATTGGATGTGTAGATTACCACAATGACAAGAATGAGTTTTAGTTGTCTACATATCACTTGTTATAACTGTCTTCTTAAAGTAAGGGGATTATTTGTTGTTTTGAGTGCAATTTACTATGAGACATATTCTCATGTACATTCCATGGTCTGACTAGCTCAGTGCATACCAGATTTGGTTAGTTCAGCAAATTGAAATATGTTTTGTAATCAGGTGTCAGTAGTATTTTTACACGAAGTATAGGAAGAACAGTTTTTTCTAGAGTTTTAGTACTTGGAATGATGTACAGATTTGCAAGTCTGTGTTATCTGCTCGGCCAAATATTAGGCCTGCAGGCTCTGTGCTCCTATGCCCTGGATGTGCAAATAGGGCTGAAGTGTGAGCTGTGTTTGAGTGTACTTACATTTCGCAGCTTTTGGGTGCCAACAATAATTTATATTGGGGAAAGTTCTTACAGCAGGGATTGGTGTTTTGTTTCCTTTATGTTCATAAGCAGTTCCCGCGGCCAGTACTTACACCACATCTTTCAGGATGAAAAGGTGAAGTTTAACTGTATTTTACCTTTGAAGCCAATTCAATTGGACTGGTGTGGGTTAGACCAGATAGTATGTTGTGGTTATCTGTGCGCTGTAACAAATATCAGTTTCCCTTCTGCATGAAAGACATAATAGTATCCTACTTATTCTGATTAACACTATAGAGAGATTATTTTGTAAAATTTGTGCAGAGTGGAAAAAAATAGTTGCCTATATATAATAAATTTCTGTGTTTCTCGCGATGAACTAGGTTTTTAAAACTTCTCTTTTCATTCACAAAATGATGCAAAATGTTTCGGAGAAAAGCATAATTTTGTTATAACATTTCTACCCACACTAATAATTCAAAGCAGCTCTCAATTGTTTGACTGCATTTGGTACTTAGTTCTACTGTCTTATATGTATTATTTAAGCTTATTTATTTTATGTTACTGGGATACTTGAAAACAAAAAATCAGTATTGTACTGAAATTGTGTATATAGGGCACCATCACAGAAGCAAGTCATATTTACCTTATAAAGAAACGCCATTGTCCCCTTTCCCGTCCTGTGCCCAGTGGTGAAGGCTATGGCAGATTTAACAGGACCTAATGGGATGAACATATCTCTCTTGAAGCATATCAAGCCATTGAGGCCCTCTGGGCCTTCTGTCCTCAGTTCGATCTTTGTAGGGGTCAAAGCACAATAATTTGCTGCTAGTGGTAAAACATGAGAACAATGAGTATTGGTGTAAGTTGTACAGTGCAGAAAAAGCCCTTTGGGGACAGCTGTAACTGAGCTATTGCTTACGCATATCACTGGAACCTGCCACAGACGGGTGTGTCGGGAGTACTGTGCCTTATTTGATGTAATGACTGTGAATAAATATATGTGTTTCAGGATGATTACTCTTTCTCTTTATCCTATAATTAGAAATTGTAGATATTAATTCCATGGTGGAACCTAATCAACATTTGAAATGTAGTAAGTATTGACTTAAAAGTGTAAAAGTTATGGTGTTTCGCAATTCTTTCATGAGAACACTAAATTACTTCTGTACAGAAAGAATATAATATAAAACACGACTGATTTCAACATTTCTGTCACCATTTTTCAGTTTCATTTATTTAGTAATGAAATTTCATAAAAAGACAGTTTCTCTGATTTATAAATCAATTTCAACATATCTATATGCGATTTGATTGTGCCTTTAGAGAATACAATTAAATTTAAATGTATTTTCCAAAATTCCAACCAACGTTTGAAGCTATGTTGTGAAAGATATCAAGTATTCTACACAACAAGGCTTATTACAAAACTATTCTCCGCTTACATATTTAATCATGTTTTCTCCAAGAAAAGAAAACAATAAATTATTTTCACATATGCCATTAAAAATCACTTTTCCATTCAAAAATTCAAAAAAGATTGAATAACAATATCAACTCTCTTTTAAAGGGTAAAAGTAGACAATTTGATGTTGGGAAGGAAGAGAGTGGGAGAAAGGGGAGAGCGGAGGTAGGGATGATAAAGGAAAGAGATGGGAAGGAGTGCGTGTGTATGATAAACTTAGCTTAAAATTACGAAAAATAAACGTTTTTATTAAAATTTCTGCGTTTGAGTATTTGAAAAACCTCAAATTATGTCACTTGGTACTAGAGGAATATCTAAAAAACTCCGTATATTTCATTTGCTTCACAAACGCAATTGCAAATTACTTTTATGGTAAGTTGACGCTTTGCTCCGCATTTTCGAGTTGAGGATGAGACCATCACCATTTACATAAAACATCCATGAAACTACGCAGAGCGTAATTAAGTAAGCATTTTATGCAATAATACATCTAGTACAAAAACTCACCTCATTAATTACGTTTCTAGAAAGTACTCACATTGTAATTAAGAAATATAATTACATTGCACTAAAATTAAACCCATTCAAATTCTCATTGTTACATAATGAACTACACTGTTCACGGTAGATGCGACCATGATGTATTGCATGGAGGATACTACACTACCCCGATTATCGAAGTCTGCTACAAGCAAACTACCTCTCTAAAACTTCACAATGGATTTCACTTTCGCTCGAGAAGCGCAAACTTTGGGTTTAAATGACTCGCTCATCTTCTATATATGTATAAAAATGGATGTTGGTGTATATAAGAGCTGTAAACTCCACACTATGTGACCGATCTCCGTGAATGTTGGTACATCTACGTGTTTTTCATCGAGAAGGTTTTTCTGCTGTTAATTTTGTTGTAACTCTACTAAATGGCGCTGCAGCAGAAGATTGCGCTTAATTTTAGTTCAATTTCCATTCAAACTGCGTTCCACCTGAGCTTCATTGGGGCTGAGCGTTGCCGTGTGACACGGAGAGTCGGAGAAAATGAGGGACAGAGAGAGAGAGAGA